CCTTCACGACCCAAACTGATTCATAAGAGTAAATATTCTGGTCACGTTTCGCTTCCTCTACACGGATCTTGTCCACTGAAGCTGAATCTAATAATCAATTGTGTGAACTGCAGAAAAGGACTAAAACTGAAGGATTTTTTTAAATAAAATAAATACATTTTTCCGTACGGCTGGACACCGTAGATGAGAAGACAAACTGTCCGTAAACCAGGAGCGTGGGGGGCGGTATACACGTAGTGATCCGGGGAAGTGGGAACAGGTGAGCAGGTGGCGAGGCGACTGCAGGACTAACGAGGGACAGGTGGAACCAATCAGGGCGCGGCAGACCATCAGAGCAGGTGAGAAAACACACAATAGTGGAAGGGAGGTGGTGTGAAAACAAGAGGAGAAGTTAGTTACACAACACAACAGGAAGCACTAAAACATGAATGATGTGAATAAAAGCAAAAACATAAAGCAGGGGATTATTACAGTAATATTTCCTCCTGAAATATACCAGAGAACTACTATAAAAATGTCCTATAGGTCCACCTATTAATATGTTCTTTATGAATCACCCCTCTAGATATTTTAAAGTGCACCGTTAAAACCTTAATACATTACTTTTAAAATGAAAAGATGATCCCTATGAGTAATGTGTGGGTACTTTTAAATTAAAAAGTAGAACGCAAGTGATGAGCACACCCTTTGTTTCTCCAGTGAATAATTGAAAGGAAAGGTATTGTTCAGAACCGCACTGACTGATTATTACATTTTTCCCTTTTAAAATACGCTAATCGATCCGCATTCGTGTTCAAGACTTTGTAGTCTCCATATTTTATAGACTGGGAACTTGTGCATATGTGTTTATTTGTGTGAATTTACGTTCATTTATGTGTGATTTTACTTCATATTGTGTTAAAATTAACTCATTTAATTGTTAATTTACAGCCAACAACAGCAATTTACAACAGGTTTGTTCTTACAAACAGCTGCTAAAACACCCAGGTCTGGATCACGTCCATCCAGATGTTTCTCCTTCAGGGAGAATTTTCATATATATTCGTGGCACAACCACCTAAATACTAAAATATTACCAAATTACCAAATTACCAAAGACTCCTCACATATCTATATAACATTTGCACATTAAAGCTAATTCATTTTTAATGGCTGTTTAAGCTCTGCTTTCAATTAGCCTCCGCTGATTCAAAAGAATCCTCAATTGAACTATTGTTTTTAATAGTGAGATCAAGTTGAGTTTAGGAAGGAATGACGAAGAGGAACAATGTGATAAAAAAAAATGATATTGCTACGCTGATACAAGTCGTTATACGCCTATGCTAATTTCCTTTGTCCTTGTTTACCCGTGGATAACAGCAATAATGTTGATAAAATGTGAAACATATTTTCATAATGGCTGACCCAGACACACTTTTATGCAACACGATCTGTTTTCAAGTCCTCGCCCTCCCCCACAAAAGTGACAATCAACTTCTAGATCCATTACCTTTCAGTGTGGAATCTCACGCATTGTGTACCAAGCCTGAGTTGCGTATCGTTGAGGGGGATAATTGTTGCCTGGCGGTGGTTTGAAGTTGCTCGCTGACTGACTGGCTGCCACTGATACGTACACATACATGAACAGCAATTACCAACAAGCACATAAAGACACATAAAGAGTGAGTGACACCGATAATTAACACACGCGCAACGGTGCACTCCTCTTCTTCTTGTGCCATTTCACAGGGACCCCAGTCAGAATAATCCGTCTCCATCACGTCGACACGGCGCTCCGTCTTGTGAGATTGTCACACTCACTAATTACTCTTTAAGATAATCGGCCTGTGTGGCTGGAGATGCCGCGGCGCCGCATCTTCTCGGGGAACGGGAGGTTTTAATCTGCGGCAAGATCAGAGCTACTGGGAGGAAGAGGAGGAGGGACGGCAGGCTGATGGAGGGAGGCGGGTGGAAATGAGAAGGAATTTGGGCATCTTAACAAACTCTTAATTACGTTCTCTATCCTCTGCCGGTGGCGGGCGTAAATGGCGGTCCCCGGGGAGCCTCTGATCCACTTTCTGATCTGCAGAATTCACAGCCGAGCGGCTGATCAAAAAGATGGAGCGGCCTAGATGCTTCAAACGCACGGGACCCTTTTTTTTCTTCTTCTTCTTTCCAGCGTGGGACTCGTGGCTTGTCATTGAGCGGAAGTTTGAATTGTTGAAATTCACGCTTGGAAAAAAAAAGAGCTCAACTCCCTTTAAAGACGAGGGTAGAAAGAGAGAGAAAGAGAGAGGAACGGTGAGTGTTCAGCGCTTCCATGAATTGATAATGAGCGTTCATTCAACGCGCTGAAGGCGTTTGTCCCACATATCGGGCTGAATTCATTGGAGATGACCTCCACCCACATCCTAGTTGTTCCAATACACCAGGCGCAGCTTTGATGTTCGCCATCAGCTGAATCCCCGGAGACGCATTGCTGTAAAAAAAAAAAAAAAAGAGACCACGCAGCCGTGAGCGCACACTCGGCAGGAGGTCCCATCGGCCCCCGCGGGTCTCTGGGTGGAGTCAGGAGGCCGCCGGTGATGGATCTCGACACGTAACAGCACAATGTGTCCGCTGACCGCCGGTGTTACACTTTACATCCCCCTCGGCTGACAAGATAAACATGAAATACAGAGGGAAGATTCATGAAAAAATGAAAATTAATTGCATGTTGGGTTGTTTTTTTTGTTTGTGTGCGTCATCGGTGGAGACAAAGATTGTTGTCTTAATGCTTTTCATGCAATGACCAAGAAATACACTGTGGATTAGCTGGTGGTCTTCCTTTAACATCGGGGTGCACATAACCTTTGAGCACAGGTGAACCATTATTTATACACAAGGTATATTAAACTGTAACGTAACGTAAATGAACAAAGCAACAAAACAACAGCATTAAATCTAGAGCATAAACACTGAAGTAAATAGGCTATATATTTATGACATTTGTGACATTTAGAATTGGCAAATGATGAAAGCAGCCCGTAGCATTATTTGTCATCCAGTCTTCATCGTTTGTGGTGTGTTATTTAGTATTAGTGCGTTAATATTACAGATTTAATTTTGCTTCTACAGGAAGCTCCAAAAACTGTTAATCAAAAATAATTAGCTAATTAGAATAACAGACCTCAGCATTGGATTGCATTATTTAGATGATCTCAAAAGGGATTACTGAAGAGTTCCCTGGGATTCAGCGGATTTCAGTGTTTTACTAAACATCGTACCCTTCAGTACACCAGCATATCTGCCCCCCCCCCCTTTGTCAGATCACACGGTTCCACACCCTGTGAAACACGGGGAGATCTGTGAGGTGCAGGAGAACACGGGGAGTTAGGGAGGAAGAGTTCATTACGATGCTTCTGTTGTGAACGCATGTGAGGTGGGAGAGAGGGAGAAAGAGGAGGGGTTTAGGTTTCTTAAGTTGCTGTCACCGTGTCTGTCAGAACAGATCCATCACGGCTGTGACACGTCAGGCTTTACATTTGCATGGAGTGCAGCAGGAACCCTTATTATGCATTCTGTCTCACAATAACCTTGCTCTCTCTACCAGATGAACCAACTAGCATCCGAGAGGCATATTTTATACCACGGCATGATGGAGAGCTGTTATTGGTTTCCCACAGTGTGTGCGCGCGCGCATGTGTGTGTACTGTACGTGTGCGCGTGTGTAGCGCGCTGGCTGCCGCCATCTTCCCAGGTGTGCAGGGATCAGCCATCTTGTCAGGTGAGCTGATGCAAACAAACTGTCTTACTCTGGCTCTCTATGCAAGCTCACACACTGCAATGCAGGTGAGGAGGTGAGGAGGAAACAGCCATTTACGTGTAGGTGTGTGTGTGTGTGTGTGTGTGTAGGTGTGTGCGTTTGTGGCACAGTATGGCGGTGCAGATGCAAGTCAGTCCCTCGGTGAGGAAGCCTCCACTGGGACAGACACAGCTGTGGCCTGGCATCGGGTTGCTAACGAGCCTTATCACACAGGCGCTCGACTAGGCACAGACACACACTAAAACACACAAACAGGCACCAATGCACACACAGACACACACACACACACAGTCCCAAAACAGAAGTATAGGGTGATACTCTTCATCATACACTCTGATGAACACACATGTGCACACGTACAAAATAAAAAAATGGCACATACCCTGAAAAAGGTAAAAAGGATATATGTGCACGCACAGACTCACACAGTCATCTACTATAATCACGCAAACGTGCACATGCAGCTACATACATACACATGGGCTCAATACGGATGATACATGTCAGCGCGAGCTCCCTCATACAGACCGACAAACATGAAAATATATTGAAACACACACGTTCTTCACAGAAACACGCAGGCGTCAAACTCACTTTCATCTACACACAGCAACAGACGCATGCAGCAACCCCCCCCCCCCCCACACACACACACACACACACACACACATGCAGCTAATGGTACATATTTTGTAGGTGGTTCTTATCTTTATAGTATGGGACAACCTTTAACAAAGTATGTGCAACAAAGAGTTGATTTGTGTAAAACCTCTGGGCTCCCTCTCTGACTTGTGTGTTTCTTGCTCCCTTATGGATTTTACAGATTGCTTCATCTGGTTTGCTTAGTACACTTACCTGAATACACTTATAGAATAAATACTGCTAAAAATGTTATGGCGAACAACAAACCTTTTTTAAGTATACATGTTTTCTAACCCTACGTATTGTAGTCTTACTACTTGTTATATCTCTCCACTCTTGCTACTACAAATGACACCTATCACATTCAAGCCGCCCAGGAAGCAGGATACATCATATGTACTTTATTGGGGTTAAAACCATTTTGCCTTTGATGAAGGTTTTTCCTTTCTAAGGTGTCTAATGAAACTGTTCTATGCCATTATATTCTGTGAGGGAACAAGGTATTGTTTCATAGTAGCGTGTAACAACAGTGCACATGTTATTGTGTACACGAATAACAGCCACAGAAAAAATATCAAATCATTCTTATTCATTTTTGTTTTTATTCATTTGTTTTACGGTCACCAGATGAGCAGATACATCATTTTAGAAAAGAAATTGATATTTGCAAAAAAATTATAATACAATTTTTTCAATATAGATTATGTACAGAATGAAATGAAGTCAAACTGAAATAGCATTCTGCCTCTTTGTCATCAGAAGACGAAGCGGAGAAGGGTCTAAGTGGTCCTCCATAGACCCATCTCCCTAACCAATAAATATAAACTGTATATATTATGTATGCTGCACTCATCCGGGCATGGAAAATACCAGGGCATGTTAGTTCTCAAGAATATTCCCTTGATCATTTCTTGTACATCATTGTGCTACACACACGCACACACACCCGCACACCCACGAGAAGCTTGACACACACAAGTGCACACAGTCCAGAGAACAAATTACAGTTTGTGTTACAACAATGGGCCATCTTAAACTCATAAAAAGCAAAGAAGGGAGCTGAAGAAATGTGTATGAGAACACCTACCGCTGTCCTTGATCAGGAGGGAGAAGTGGCTTATTCGGTCAAAGCTCGCTGGAGCTGCATGAGAAGCACTTGACATTTGGCCTGATTCAAACAGCCAATTCTACAGATAGCTACCGAGCTGGAAAATCTCTCTGGGTCTCTCACGGATTCCGCCTATTCATGTGGCTTCCTCCCTCCCGTTCACTCTGTATCTATCTAGCGTTCCTCTCTCTCTCTCTCTCTCTCTCTCTCTCTCAGAGCCACTTCTCTCCCATTTTCTTCATCTTGAGTGGAACAGGTGCCAGGACCAGGGAGGGCAAATGCCCCCCTTTTTGACTGTTTTCTCTCTGGGAATGAACAGAATAAAATGCACACAAAAAGCTTTTATCCATGCTGTATTGTAACAGGACAGACAACTGCACAATCACAGGACGAGCACGCGAAGAGACGACAGCAAAGTAAAGCCACGGTCAGGATGGGGCAGGGAACGCTTGCCAAAGGGACGCTTGAAGGACACTATAAGCAAGTTCACCGCTTTACCTTGTCGATGGGGATCGCCTCTAAAAGTCCCCCTACTTGTTCTTGAAGGGAGGGAGAATTATGACTTGTGGCGATGAGCGAATACACAAACTTGCATAAATCATCCATCTTGTTTGGCGGTTAATTACTCTTGTTTACCCTCCGAGTAACCTCGGGATGGTGCGGCGTGATGGAGGGGGGCCTGGGAGGAAGAGATAGCAGCAAATAGTAATCTGCTGACGCCGTTCATCAGTTTGCAATTCGCAGGAGTAAAAGCGCATCGTGGGCCTGAACCTGGGTGTTAGCGAAATTAGACAGGGTTGCCCGGGGTCTGAGAACGGCAGCTCCACCAACATCCGGGCCTGACCACAGCCGCTCGGTAAGCTGTTCTGAGGTCAGCCGGTGAAGGAGCCGCGCCGAGGCGGCCCGGTGCAGGCCAATCAGAAAGCTCCTGAGGATGTACAGCAGGCTCTGATCGTTGCTTATTTCATTACAGGGAAAGCTACATAAATCCACAAAATGGAGAGGAAGAGGCACGAAAGGAATATTTGCATTTCTCCTTTCATATCGTCGCCCCTCAAAGCCCCCCCCCCCTCTCCAACCACACCACCGCTTTCAATCCCTCCCCCGTTTAGTGCAGAGTGACTTTAATCATCACTTTCGCCAAAGCACATTAAGCCGGTGTGTCCGGAGTTGAGGATAGAGAGGGGGGAATAGAAAAAAGAGTGGCGCATTAGATTTGCAATAGCGATGGATCACTCTGGCATTACTTTGGAGATTAAAGACGGGACGTTGCATTTCATTGGAGGGGTGCTGATGGTTGCCTGATGTATGGCTGTCCTCCTCCGCTGAGCTAAATAGGAAAACACTACTGTTCACCGAGGAGAGAAGTCTTACTGATCATGGAGATCACATCCTTTCTATGCCCTCATGCCCTTATTTGTGATTTTCTTCTAAAAATCTATTTATTCCTCATCCTTATACATTTAAACCCCAATCTGAGCGCACCTCTACATTGAGACATATGTATGCAGCTGTTTGATCATGTTCTCAAGTCCAAAACAACACCTCCTTTGTATAAGGAGATAATACTTTAAAGTGGATTGCATACATTTAACTTAAACCAACACACAACGCGACTTCACCTGGTCTTTGTGTTACTGCATCTGTATGGATAGGATGGATGTAAAGTGCTTGAGAGCTTAGGACAGGCAGTACGAGATTGAGATTGAGACCATAAAAAAAACAAAAACAAAGAAAAGCTGAAGGGCATGAACGAGGGGGACTTTAGGACTGGGCTCATCGGGGCAGGTTCAATACGGAGACAGGAGGCTTAATAAACAGGGTGTGGGGGTGTATGGAGTCCCCAGGAAACAAAATGACAATACGTATTTTGTTCTACAGTCTCAGAAAAACAGAATCACAGTCAGTCAGTCCAAGGGTACAGCCCATCAGCAGCCCGGCCCGGTGGGTGAGCTTTCCGGTCATGTGTCCATCCGAACCCTTGGGCCTGGGTTCACCCTGGCACCCAGCTCTGGTTGCTGTGTGCTGGTGGAGGGCAAGCAAACGCCCCCAAGCTCATGCCCATCCCCATCCCCATACCTTGGGACAGAGAGCCGTCAAAGTTGAAGCTCATGCTCTCTGTGTCCATAAAGTCATTGAGCAGGATAGAGTCTACATCGCAGTCCAGACTATTAGGGACATTCTCCATCTCCAGGTTGGCAGCCATTCTACCGTGGGAATTGTGCTGTTGCCCCTGGTAACCAGTGTTCCCTGGCTGGTGGTTGTTATGGTAGTAGCCGTGCCAGGAGTCAGTGATGCCCTGATGGTGGGCTCCGGGGTAAGGCTGGTGACGGGGTTGAGGTGCGGACGCCAAGCGGCAGGGGACCTGGGGAACGTCCATGACTCCAGCGGGGTTGGGCGGCAGAGACGGCGATGTCGGGAGGTGTGGTCGGGGGCCGTAGTGGTTGGAGGTCTTGAGACTGTAGGGCTGCAGGATGTCGGTGCTAACCCTTGGGGAAAGGGCCTGTGGGTGAGGCCCACTGTGCATAGGGTTGTGTTGGTTGTGGTTGTGCATATGACTCTGGCTGGAGCGAGGGTTGTGATCATGGGTGGCGTTTACTTTGTTGCTGTGACTGTGCTCGTGACTCGAACCATAGTCATGGGCAGGAAGGGGCTTGTGGCTGAGGCTGTAGTCGAGGCTGGCTTGGTGTTTGTGACCCTGATTGTGGTTCTGATGGTGTGTTGTGTTCTGGTCGAGGACTGAGCCATGGCCATTGTGTAGACTGGGATTGTGAGCATGCTCTTGGCTGGGGTTGTGATTGTGATTGTGGCTGCGATTCTGATTGTGGCTGTGCTGGCTGGGAACACCATTGGTCCCGTGTGTCATAAGTGTGTGTGTTTCCCGTCCCTGGCCCAGCACCGTCTCTTTGTTGCAGTACGGCGGACCTCCAGTGAGCAGACTCTGCAGAGCGTTGTTCTCTGAGTAGCCCCTCATTGGGCGCTGGAAGCTGACTGGCTTGTTCTCCTGGATGGTCTCCATGAGAGTGTGATGCCGGAGCATGCCCATGGAAGGTTGTCCGTACATGGGCCCACAGTAGGAGCCCTCTCCCTTGGGCGCTGGCACGTAGGGATAACCGTTGCATTTGATTTGCTGTGGCTGTGGGTAGCCACTCTCATCTAGACTGATAGCCCCTGTCAAGTCAGTCAACTGGGGCAGCTCGACAGTCGGGCAGTGTCCTCCAGTGCCCAGTGCCGGGGAGCGGGTGCTGGAGGGGCTGGGGTACAGTCGAGGGGAGGCCGAGCAGGACAGTCCACCTTCCTCCGGCTCATCAGCCTCGGCCTCGGCAAGGATCGGGGACAGGCAGCCACTCATGGTGGAGGCAGAGGAGGAAGTGCGGGAATGGAGATCCGTCCAGGTGTCGTACTCCTCACCGCCCATTCCCACACCTCCTTTCCCCGCTGGACTGCCATGCTCCGGGGAGCCTTGCATCGCGGGTCCGGCCCTCTGACCTTGTCCCCGTCCGAGGCCCATGGCCCCTGCTCTCTTTCGGCTAATGCGACCCTTGGTCTTCAAGTAGCGGGTGCCGTTGTCGATAGAGGCCGCCCGTCGCCTGGGTCCTTTCCCCATCTTCCCTCCTTCAGGGTTCAGCATCCACCACGAACTCTTCCCTGTCCCTTCATTTTGCACCCGGATGAAGCGACTGTGCAGGGACAGATTGTGTCTGATTGAGTTCTGGAAGGAGAGAGAAAGAGAAGAGAGAGAGAAAAAAGATAAACATTAACACCCAAGGGAACATTTAGGGTTAAATAATCATTTCTTGAGAACACAAAGTCATTTCAAATTATGGCCAAACTGTCAAGGCTGCACATTGAGCGAGAAAGAGATAGATAAAGAAACAGGGAAAGATGGAGAGGAAGGCAAAGAGGGCAGGGAGAGTGAAGGACCAATCGATACCTCCCCTGACCAGCCTCTCCTCTCCACACGCTCTCACTGAGTCATAATATGGACATGGGTGCAGCCTCAACATCAAACCATCACCAAGGTTACAGAAATGAATCACACGAGGCAACCCAATCACAGACAGCCCATATCGATTGAAGGGCCTCCAAATATAAGCGCCTCAGATCCAGCCATAGACAGACAGGGAGGGAGGGAGGCAGGGAGGGAAAGAGACGGATGGAGGGAGGGGTGGGCGTGATTTGGCAGGAGCGGATCTGGAGGACTACCAGAATGAAAAAATAAACCCGCGTACATAGGCCTGGAATGAGATAGACGGAAAGAGAAAGGGGCGAGGAGAGGGGGGGGTGGATATGCTCATTTAACCTCTTTTAAAATCATGGCACAATTAACATGACTGCAGGCAAAGACGGAAGATATCGGCGTTACGAAGTCTTCTTGTGAATGGCTTTGGATATGGACGGGTGTGTTGGTCGCGGGTGGGAGTGTGTGTGTGTGTGTGGGGGGGGGGGGGGGATAAGCCTCTCCAGACCCCTGTTTAAGTGTGTGAGTGACGGCTGTATAGTTAATCCAGGGCTCCGCAGCAGCATTTGAAGCCGGTGCCAACCTGGAGTGAGTTGATGAGATCTAAGCCTGCCTAAAGGAGAGCTTAGCCGGGATACACATCATCTCAGCCGGCCAAGTTAGTACAGCATGTTCATCCAAATCGTTCCTGCTTGTGTCGTTATTCACACTTTCTCCAGCTTTCTTCCCTTTGCTTTTCCACCTTCTCTTTCTTCTCTCTTGCCTTTTGCTCTTTTACGATCTTTTCTGATTTTTTGGGAGGAACGAACCCCCCAAAATCCCAAACCCTCTTCCCCATGTGCGCAATCACACACTCGTCTTTTTCCTCTCTGGAGATATCCATCTATTTCTTCCTTGTTTATTACCTGCACATAGCTCACAATCTCTGTCTCCTGATATCTCGAGCCATTCTCTATCTTCATTCACTCCCCGCCTCCTGTCCAATTTTCCTGCTCTCGGCCCCATTCATCTCCCTCTCTGTGTCCCTGCTTCTCTTGATCACGACATTGCTCATTCTCCACTTCTCTCCACATCCATCCATCCTCCCATCACCCAACACAACTTCCATCTTTCCCCCTCACCTCTCTCTAATTCATTCATTCACACTGAAAGACGGGAAAAATATGGGAAACATACAGCAGGAGATGCAAATCTGTGTGCTTAATGGAGGGCGAGCTTACATTTCACCCTTCAGCACAATCCATACATTCGCCATATGCAACCCTACACACACACACACACACAATACAGGCAGCAATCAGAGCGACATGGCTGCGTACTGGACAACCAGCCGAAAGAGCGGCAGGCTTCTGTTGTGGTAATATGAAAAGCACGCTAATATGTTTCTCGCGAAATGTTCACCGGGGGAATTCAGCCTTAAGTGGGTCTCAAATCGGTCTTGTATCCGACCTCCTGCTATTGCCATTCATGGAGTGAAGCCCCCCCCCCCCCCCCCCCAATCCACACACTCCCACCCCCTCGCTGTGACTCCCAACAGGTAATTTCATCCCATCGTCCACTCAAATCACGCTGCTTTGACTAGACTCCCTCCGCAGACGTGGAAATTGCACAGGAGAGATGCATCTATGCCTTTTTGTTGTGCTGTTCATAGGGGTCCTCTCCAAAACACCAGGTTGGTAAAATTGCCCGGGCTCAACGCTTGCTACAAAATGGGCCGGCTGCACTTATCGGCGGCGGCGCGCTACCCAACGCAGACTTTATCAAAGCCAAATTGAACGATGACGCCGTGTGAAAGAGGCCGCCGGTGGAGCCGACCCTCATCAGGTGATCTGAGAGTGGCGCCCTGACAGGTCTCTCCGCAACGTGACGGCTCCGGCTGGGCGTAGCCATGGCAACAGAGTAAACCAAAAGAGGGAGACGGAAAGAGGGGGGGAGGCGATGGTGGGGCGGAGAAAGGGGAGCGAAGGGAGGGAGGGAGGGGTGGTGGGGGGGGGGGGGGGGTTGGCTGATGCTGTTTGATGCTGCAGGCAACTCCAAACAGCCTTTTTATCTGAGTCTGTCAGATTCCTGCTTCCAATCCACCAGGGAGGCTCAATCACCAGTAGTCCCAATGTCTCACTACCTGTACCAAGCTGTGATTAGCAGCTCTGTGCGTGTGCGTGTGCGTGTGTGTGTGCGTGTGTGTGTGTGTGTGTGTGCAGACAAAGCTTCTGTGCAACAACCAGTGCAACAATTATGCAGTAGACTGCTGTTCCCTCCACAGACACTGTATACCAAAATGTTCTTTGTCTTGAGTATGTATTAAAATGACATTATCTTAAGGCTTTTTCTTTCCACTGAAATGGTAAAGATTTAGTGGTGATATAGTACGGTGTTCCCTGATTGTCGCCCCCATTGTCTAAACACAGTAGAGCATTTAGTATCAAATCAATCATTGACACATTAGAAAAAGACACATTAAGCTAAAAGAGGCCGTTGGAGCTCTTTAAAATACAGTATATACACTGTAATCTCAAAAGTCATTCAGAAAAATGTGCATGTCAACATGAATTGGGGTTATAAAGCACTTTTATCATTACGGTTTTACATATTAATGTAGGTACGTCACAGCACGGATTTGACAAATAACGTCCGTTGCCATAACTCATATCTGATAGAAAAAAAACATAATTTTCAAAAAAGATAAATCTTTATTTCTTTCTTATTTCTTTAACCTTAACCAAGTCGTTACTGTTTACCATGACAACCAAGGTCCTACAACAGTTGTCCCCTCATTACTCAAACATCTTTTCTATTCTGTGATTACTGTAGTAGGCTATAATGTTTCTTTCGAACTTTTGATTTTGTCATTTATACAGATTATACTATGAAGTTATCCTCCATTGTATTATATATTTTTTTAAATACTTTATCACAAAGAAAAATCAAGGAACTTCTCTTTTACCAGTTTCCAGCGCACTAGCGTGAGAAAGATTGGGCCATCACATACAAAGGGAAGTTCGATAGCCACGGGGTCATCATTGCAATCAAATGCTATATAGCAGGAGATGTCACTGATTAGCCCACTGTCAGCCAGACAGGAGGAGATGATCAGAGAAAACCTCCAGCGAAGTCTTTGATTGGAACGGCCGACTCTCAGCCCTCTGTAGCACAGCGGCTGGCCGTCCCTCCCTTGCTGTCAGAAAGAGTGATTCTGAAGAGGAGGTGCCTGCTCCCTCGGCTCGCAGCCTTTGCCTTCCTGCTGATGCGGCGGAAGATGGACTTTTTGCAGCGAGAACGCTGACCGAATCCACCTTCACGCCCACCCTCCTCCATCCACCACCGCTACTCTATGTCGTACATTGAACGTGAGTTTGATCCTGACGCACTTCAGTGTGATTTCACAGTGTGAGTCAGGGGCGTCCGGCGCTTAGTTAATGGCCCGTAGATCTGTCTAAACGCAGAGTTCTTACACTTTTCCCTTTTTCCAGACCCAACAATATATTAATGGGTTTATAGTCAGTCTCACTTGCCTGTGAAACAGAAATGTGAATGACGTTCAATGTTTGAATATGGCAAAAACAAAAAGAGAAGTGGAAATCTATTTCACGCTTTGCATTGAACTGAGACACAAAACCAAGGATTTTACTCACATGGTTTCTTTTAAAAAGTATCAAAACGAAACATACCGGGGCTGGACACAATTATAGGAACATCTGAACAGTTGTTCTATTCAGGAAAACATCCTTTTTGTGTCATAAATGAGTCAACTTGTGGATTATGCTGTGAGTTTTGTCTACGCTTTATTAGAACCTTTGTCTCCAAACAGCCTTTTTAAATGGTGAGAAACTGTGTGTTGTCCTGCAGCAGGATGCGGTGTGCCCACATCCTCCATTTCAGAACAGCAGTGATTCATTTTTATGATTATTATTATTATTGAAAAGAGTCTTGTCCCTTTTTTAGTCCGGGTTAGCAAGCTAGCGTTAATTACATCTATTGCAAATTATCCAGTTTGTGTTGCATAGCTACGAGGATGATGTAACCCTTTGCACCCGTTTTTCCTCCGGCTGTCTCTCTGTTGCCAGCGATTCTCTCAACGGAGCTCTGTGCCTGAGCAGAGAAAAGCCTCCGTTATTAATTCCACACAACTGATATCAAAATGTATCTGTGTACCGGACCCGGTGCCACCATAGAAGGAACAACAGTTTCCAGACGTTTCCACACCTCCCTGCAGACTGGAGCTGCGAGATGTGGATATTAAATCACGTCGAGTGTGTGTTGTTTGCAGCCCGGCGCGCAAAGATTAACACACGTTAGCAAATGGCACCATTTAGATTTCACAACTCGACACGCGCTCCCCTCGACGTGCACGCGACCCCACGCACTTCTAACCCCCCCAAGCCAGCCAGCCCCGCTCGCCCCCCGCCCCAAACTGGCAATCACACTTAATCCCACTCCAGCCTGAGTAATCCCTGACAATCCAAGGCTAATCCTGGTTAATTCTGGGCACTCCTCGGCTGGGTTTCACCCTCAAACCACAGAGACAGGGTGGGGATTGGTCGGATCACGCCGATAGCGGCTGAGCGCTCCGTTGATGGACGTAATTGGTCGGGCGGTTGTTGGCAGCCAAGAAAAACAAGCACAGGTTTTTTTTCGCCACTCTCCAAAATATGTCCGGATTGACCCCCGATGGCCTTCAACCAGGCGCTCCTGGTAGAAAACATGTCCCCCGCCTCCCCCCCGGCGTGGCCGCGCGTTAGCATCCCAACGCT